ACACAATGTCCCGTTCCCACACTCCACTCCTAGTTTGAAACCATCTCATTTTTCACTGTTTTGACTGTTAGCAAAGGTCAGACTGACCAACACCAGACAGGAAATGATGTACAGCTACACAAAGGACTCCCTAATAGAAATGGGAAGAAAGGCATCATCTCATGGTGGCAATCTCCAAGTTCTTTTGACACATGACCAGCAACATATCCCCTTTTGAAAATCGATCTTCAGGGCTCGTTCTTTCCAAATGATTTAACACAGAGATCCTTTCACATTCTTAAAATTAAATAATGGGGAGTGGTTTAGATGATAATTACATTATCAAGTGTTGATACTTCTCTGTTTATCTAGCCAAACCATCTATGCAGAATATCTAATCATTATTTTTTATAATGATCAAAGTTGGTTCCCTGATTATAAGGATGATGATATGTAAGATTTTGCACATCAGTTTTTTTTGTACCAGCAATGTGCACTTAACAACAGAAATTCAAATGAACAGGCCAAAAAGCAATGACTATACCAGTCCAAACATCTGTCAACATTTTGGCAGCCCATGAGGCCCACGCCAATCTTTCAACTTCATTTTAATCTCAGCTGCACTCTTTTGTAACTGCTACCTGAGCCAGTGAGACAGAAATATGTACTTACAGAGGAAGAAATGTGCAAAAGACGCTAATACCGACGGATGCCAAAGTTCTCAAACCATTCTTTACGGTAGTTTCTGCTAGAGCAGGTATCTGCAGAAGAACACTGTACTTTACTCATAAAGTGCGGCATGGAAAAAAGAAGAAAAGCAGCAGCCAGGCATGTGCAAAGACAGTGTCTTCAGGCAACATTTCATTTCACAGAAAAGCAGCTTCCATTTGTAATGTACTTCAAACCTTCACTGCCCTAAGGATTTGCCCAAGGCATGAGATTTCTCTTTTTCTAGTCAAATACATTAAAATTGGCAAACGATTCAACTGTTATTTGAAAAACTTGACCAAGAAGATATGCTAAAAAAACAAAAAACGAAAATAAACAGCAGCTTTCCTTCCCATCCATTAATGCTCGCTTGGGAAAAAGTTCAATGGGTATGGTTGGTACAACAGAAGAAACTCAGTGGGTATAAAAACATATCTATGCATATAACTTCTGTAAATATTTCTGCAGAAATTGAATCACATCTACTGTCACAATTCACATGCTTTTAGAGATGAAGCTTTGATTCATTGAGTTTAAAAAAAATATTTTAGCCCTCTGTGTTTTGTCAAAAAATACTTAGATTACGTTAGAAGTTATTGAGTCAGTTGTCCGCTGATAACTAAGTGAAAACATCTAATAAAATTGGAAGCTTTCGTATGTATTGATACAGGAGGTGCACTTAAATCTCTCCAAAGAAAACATACTGGCCACTTATTTAAAGGGACAAAGAAACTTTCAAACCTAGCGTTGTAATTGCCAAGGAAACATCAGCAAAAAGAAAGCCACCTTTTAGGTTGAAGGCATTGATCATATCATCTAGCACATATTTCTGTAACAGGAGTTGTTTAAATTTGTGGTCGATTATATGTATCAGACAAGAATCCAAGTATGATTTTGATTCCAAAGTTGAAAAACTTTGTGAAAAGTACTCAGGGTGGAAAGTCTTTTCGTCCTGACTCTTATTTTTGGCGCTTTCTTCCATTCCACATGTTTGGCGAGCAGTGTCAAGAGCCGGAGGCAAAAGCTGCTTTTCAGCAGGGACCGAAAAAAAGAAATGGAAGAGGAGGTGGTGGTGATGGGTATGAGCATGCTCTGTGATACCCATGGTAAGTTAGGCTCAGGATGAAGCTCAGCTGACCTTGAGGGTGTCATTTCGATCGATCAGTGGAAAGGAGCTACGTGTGCATGAGAGGGAGACGAAGAGAAAGATGGAGGCATAAAAGTCCACCTAACAAGGAGAAAACTGAAACCTGAATCACTAATGATGAATCATTAATAAGTGGACAGGAGAGGACTTTTCACGTCTTTCTTTCTTGATTCTTACTTCCTTTCTTTTTTTTCCTTCTTTACCTGGTTTATTTTAGCTTTAATGTTGAAATAAATTTGTGATCTTTAAAAGTAAACAACACATGTGGCCATAATAAATTACGTTTAAACATTTTTTTTTTAAATGGAGAAAAAAAATGCAAAAAACATGTTTTTTTTCCGATAAACTGTGATTTTTTTCTTTTTTAACAATGCACTGTGTTGTTCATGATACATTGTGTAACATTACCCTACCTAGTCTCTTGACACTTTGTGGCTTCTTTTGCCTCTAATGCATGATAGCTGCATATCTTCATTTTTAGCTGTCTGGTATTGGTTTGAAAGGGTCCTTGTGTATGATTGTGCCAAATTGTTTCAATTTTGCAACAAACATTAACAAACAAACATTAATTTCCTGTTCTGGGACCAGATTCTGATGATGTGGCTGGAATAAATCTGATTTGCACTTTCTCTTGGTTTTTTCGACCAGGTAGGTTCAGTTCAGCATGTTGGATCTAAACAATACTGACAATTTTCACAGAAACTAAAAGGGAAAGACTAATTTCTCAGTCCAGCATCTCTATTCTAAATGATGACCCTATTATCTAAAAACTGCTGGTTTTGCCTTGAGCTTGACAGCACTGCATCTAACCAGAAACAATTAAAGTCGATTGGTGTCTGATTGTGAAGCTCTCTACGATGGGAAGATAATGAGAATCAAACCAACATGGAGGCCCAGTTGCATACAGTCCTTTCAAATAAGAATTGCCACATCATAACAGGCCTCATTATCCCCTCTTTCATTGGAGAAGCCATACAAAGTCGGATTGATTTAGTAGCTAAAGCTGCACTTTCAACCTTTAAGTCCTGAGGGATTTTGGACTTACGCTTTGTGTGAGACTTTGTTGCATCTTGACAATAATTTTGATTACATGGCATTAGACAATAACCAAGGCTAAGTCTAGAACCATGTTATATGTAGACCATGCTAGGTATGCTTTTAACTCTCATCCATACCACTTTGAAATAAAATGCTCTCACTCGACTGCATTTGCCACAAATTCACCAAATAATTACTCAAATAATCGTTGTGATGTGCTCAACATTGGCTTAAGCTTCACTGAAGTGTAGTCCATATACGTGTAATATATCAGGGACATGGACACCTTGAGAACACAGCCCATTATTTTAGCTGTTCCAAGCCACCAGCAACTCTGTGATCTGTTGAAATTCATTGTAACTTTATTTTAAATCTTCCTGCTCATACTTTAAAAAATAGAACACACATAACAGCTGTGGGTACTATGAAGTCGTCCTGTGTTAGCAAAAAATAAAAAAGCAGCAAGTAGATTCTGTTGGGAGACCTGTACCAAATGTTGTCCATGTGTTATTGATGAGAAGAGCAGAAAACTGCAGTCAGTATAAATAATGTAAACCAGCCACAGCTTTTCATTTGTGTATCAGATAGTCAGTCAGCAACTCAGGGGTCAGTGGGGTGTGTTATGTTTTTTCACTGCACACATGTTTAAAAAGGAACAGGGCCTGATGTGCTCTCCTCACACTTTCTGATCACAAGTTCACCATTGCCGTCAGCACTGACTGTTCCTGTGGGAGTGTGTGTGGGACCTGCTTATGATTTAGAAAACTATGCAGCTATGACAAAGTGCTGTTTGCTTTAGATTAGCGCTGGTGGTTATCGGCCATCTGCGGTTTGTATTTCTGTTGTTCAGAAGAACCTTGGTCTTGTGGGCAAACAGGAGTAATTTAAAACAAACAGCAATTTTGTGGGCACAACAGCAGCTGAGTAACACTCACAGTTCTTCCATTCCTCTTTGCTGAAAGCCAAAATGTTTTACTTCAACAAGAATATTAACAAATCTAGCAACATTTTCACTGAGTTTCTCCCTACATTTACATTCAAAATCAGTTTTACCAATTTAAACCTCAAATATGTCAGCAAAGTAGTGCCAAAAAGGCGATTCATAACTAATACAACCACATCTGTAAAGGGCAATGACTGAGCTCTTTGGGACATTCAATTCCCTGGTTGTTTATTGTGAATGTATTGTATGGTTCGTCAATAAAACTCAACTAACAAAAACTCAATAGCTGAAGGGAGAAAAACTGGTTCTATAGCGAATTTATTAATCCCAGGATTTTAACAGCGAAATACAGTCACAATGAATTACTTATATAACAAAAATTAACACTGCGTACGTTCCCTACTCATCCCTATAAACTGAATATGTATACACTTATTTAAAGACAAGCTCTGATAATTAGAAATACGGACACTGACAAGATGTTTATGTTAGTGTAATAGAAGTGAGAAAATATCAGTATTGAGATAAATATATTCTAGAAAGTCAGTATAATAAAAAAAAGAAAAAGATTAGTCTCACTTGTAGCCATTGAAGAGGTCACTTATTGTTCCAAAGGTACATTAAGAAAAATGTGTACTGCATGTCTGTATATGTGTGTGTTTGTTCGTGTTTGTGCTTCAACAATGGCTAACACAGCAGGTTTATGTTAATATGTAAATTACTTTGTGAGTTCAGTTTAGTCTACATGCATGTTAACCACAGATTTGAAAATCTGTTAGCAGTTTCTAACCTAGCAGGAGGGATCCATTGCTGCATTATGATCTATGTATCAAATGAGATGATGATAATCAAATGTTCAGTTCACTGCTATTTTATCTTAAATTCAGACTTAGGCCCAGATAAGAGCTGGTGCTGGTAAGCATGTGAGCTGTTTAGTCTGAATACATTTGATAGCAACAGAGAACTAAAATAAATAAATTCCTCCATTTTGCATCAGTTCTAAAGTGATGTCAAATTAAATTAGTTTTGGGGTACATCTTTAGATTGTATGTTCTATGCATCAATGAATCCATCCATCTGTGATTCCTACACTGACCCCACAACTGCCATTGTTAAATGCATTGATTCTGAAATTATCATTATATCACAAAAGACTAATGTGTTATAAGATGAAAGGAGTCTTACCCTTGAGGCCAAACTTGGAGTTTCCACCAAACTTTAGAATAACCAGCATTAGAAGGAAACCAGTGAAGGCCACCGCAGCAATCCCCACCACGATATACACCTGTACGATTACATAAAAACATTTTCAGCTATGTGTTTAAGTTTTCAAAAGACAACAGCTCTCTCTTTAGTGAGTTGGCTTCAGAAAGTTACATCTAATGTCAAGAAATAGACACGTTCAAAGACAATCAAGGATTAGCAGTAAATTAAATCATACAGTTTCTATAAAGAGGTGATCAGATAGTGGAAAACAGTGAGAGGTAACTTACAGCTACTTTGTCTTCAGGTGGTTCCACAGGGGGAGCCTCTGTTGATACAGGCATAAGAAGAGAATTACCATTCAAGGAGTGATTTAGTAATTATCTCTGTTTTTTTCTCTAAATGGTGCATATTGTACATTTTGAGTAAGACTTTAACAATGGTTCTCTATTTGCTTTTTGTTGATGGACTACAAATGTCCAATACCAGTTTGGAACCACAAAGTATCACAAACTTTCCAGGCAGTGGATATCTTACCATAAAGGACTGGTCTGTTTTAAGATGTTGTTTTGAATTTTAATATCGTGGATATACTTTCATGACTTTGTGACATTTATAAAAACATTTATCTACTGCAATATAAACTGCCATAAATTGACATTTCCAATCAAATGGCATCCAAGTAACAATGATAGCCTAATCAAGAGCCACTTCCTGTGGCATTATATTACTCATAATTAGAGTTTATGTTTCAGAGAGTCCCATTTTCAGCAGGGTATAAATATTAGTCCCTTCTTTTTAGTTGGGGGCTTTATGTGGGATGATTAGATTATTTTGTATTCTATTCTATTCTTTCCCATCCAGTGATATGTCCTCTAACCCATAACCTGTAGAGGTGGATGGGGGTATCATACATCTCCGAAACAACCCTGTCGGACAAGGGACTAAAACTCCCGGTCTGGAGGGCTGCTGTCCAGCAGGTTTTAAAATGTTCCCTGCTTTAACATACTAATAAAACAAAATCAAATAAGAAGTCAGGCCTTGGGAGATGCTCCCTTATTTGTACCATGTTTAATCTTTTCATACCTCTCACTGCCAACTTTTTGCACTCATTTAAATAAAAAATATACAGACATGTGATGCTTTCTTACAGTTTGAAATTGCAGTGAGATAGTCTTGGCAGAAACAATGTCCATCCATAGTTGTGACATTGTTGTGACTGAGCCTTACTAATTTGCCTTTCTATTTTACAGCCTTCTCCTCTGTAGGATTAACCCTAATTTACCCAATGAATGTTATGACATATAAAAGGAAATTTCAAACTAGTGATTGAGACTGTCTATTAACTCACGAAATGTTTTGTGTGGTGACAAATTCAGTGAGAAGGGGACCATTTTCTCATGAAATAAGAATAATTTTTTTAATCAAAAAGATTTCCTGGCCTACCACAGATGGTCGCCAAAAGGCTCTGCTGAATAAGCTCCACATTCAGTGATTGTTACGACAATATATCAGGAATACTTGGATACACTAAACTGATTTTACACTATGAAGATCATGGTGTGAATTAGCATCCTTTATTTCAAAGAATCATCCAGACTTTATATTTGAAAGACGTTTTAGCAAGAGCCTTTTTCCTGTATATCCTGAATTAGCTTTTTTTATTGAAAATGTATCAGCTAAAACAAATATAAAGATACATCATCATAAAATCTGAAACCTTTTTTTTTATTTTTGTGGAAATGTGTCAAATATGTTTGTGGATTGTAAACTATGGCACACTTGGGGTGTACTAGATACAAAAACCTGATAGAGCAGCAAGAGTTAACTCAAGGGGTTGTAAACAGGAGGGAGGAAGGAAAAGATGTAGCAGTACCTGTTAGGGGATCTGCAGATGCAAAAGACAGAGACAGACAGACCAGTTAGATATTTAGTAAAAACCTATTTTAGTTTTAACATTTTTTGTCATGCAGCACTTCACAACTAATAATTCCCACCATGCCTGTTCTATGAGCTTGTGTCAAAAACACAGTCATCACACACACACAGTACACAGACCAACAAACAAGACATGCACGACATCTGAAATAAAATAATAAATACATCAGGGACACAGTGTGGAAAAAAGCTGTAATGTTATGTAGGGATGTGACGCACCCTCAGCAACTTTAGAGAAAGAGAGAGAGAGAAAAAGATTCCTAAAATGTCATTTGTTTTAACTGATGGATGTGATTTTAAACACAAAACACATTGAAAACAATGACACTGTGTATAAACCACAAGTTGAAACTGAATGTGTTTCAGTGAACACTCTCACATTGAATGGAAAGAAAAAAAGTCACTCACCATAATAGTAAGGTTCCTTTTCAGTTCCTACACATGAAAAAACAACAAAAAGTTTGATTTAGTTACGTCATCAATTTGACTCACTGGTAAACCCAGTGAGTTACCAGAGCTGTTTCAAAAAGTCCAAATAAATTCTAGGGCATTGGTCTGCTCCCGTTATCCCTCCATTACCTCTTGGCACCTTTAAAAAAAATCTTGTCAAGTACATGTATTGTAGAGACAAAAATAGTGATCATAAAATGGGGCCTTTATGGTAACTATAAAAAAGATTTATTCAGTTATGTTATTGTGTGTTATGCTCCTGGTGGCTACAGGTCAAAAAGAGACACACCATTCATTGACAGCAATGATCAAAAAAACTTCTGTAGGGACTTCTACATGAACATTATTCATAGTTTGAACTTATTATGTCATAGTAATGGTCACTGCTGTCTTTTTTGAAGCAGCAAAACTATTTTTTTCTCAAAATGTCAGCTCTTGTTTTGCAACTCCCTTTAGAATGACAGAATGCAGGATATCATTGTATATCAGTGTGAGAAGGAAGAAGGAAACACAGCACAATTATACTCCTCACCATCCAAGGGTTTTAACATGAAGTGAGCTTCCACGTCCTTTTGATCTGACCCATACTTGTTTGTAGCGACCAGTGTGTACCGCCCATTGTTCAGGTGTGTGGGATTGTCCAGTTGTAGACAGCCATGGACTTCTCCCGCTGCCTCTTCATAGATCTGAGTCTGGATGTAATCATCCTCTGGCACCTTTTTACCGTCTTGATACCAGTCAATAACCGGTCTTGGGTTTGCTGGAAACACAAAAACACTCGGAGCTGTTAGACAGTTTCCTCATTTCCTTAGTAGTCTTTACTGTGGGTGAAGTCATTGCTGTGATTTGTGAGGGAAAAAAAACATTTTATTGAGAGAGCTCTTAAAAAACAAACACATTTTAATGCATTATTGAAAGGTGTTAAAATCTGTATGCAAATGTTGATCATACCTTCTATGCTGAAGGGGATGCACCAGTGATGGTCTGGGATTGCATCACTCAGCTTTACGATCTTAGGTGCAACTGAGTGAAGACCAGAGTTTGGAGTTTTAGACAAAATGTGTGAAATGAAATGATAAAAAATCTATAAAGGCCTAAGGCATTAGAAAAGAATGCAAACAAACTAATTGGAAGATAAGAGAAACTACTGTCTTCTGAAACTTAACTCTGTGTCTTATACACCACTACGGATTAGATGGACAATTTAATCTTCACTAAATTAAAGTTGATTGCCAAAGGGTAAACGTACATCGTACATCCAGGGTCACAGAAGACTCCTTCCCTCCAACAATGTTCTCTGCGTTGCAACTAATCTTTTTGTTGTGATCCATTGAGGACACATCGGTAAGAATCAGAGTAGAAACCTGGCCTGATGTCGCAATCTGTAAGCAAAAACAGTTTATATGTCAATATGACACTGGCATGCACATAACAATGTACCACATAAACAATGACAATTAGTAGCTTTTGAAAACAACAATTACCAGATCCATTTGTATAAAGATCAATAAAGAACAGATGTAAAGGCAGCAGGGCACAGTGGAATTACTTATCTAACCACATTTTAAGCCCATCACCGTGAAAAATCTGAAATGATTTATATTTATGCATTTGATCAATTCTGTTTAACATATTAATCTATTATTATTATCATTCCTCATATATATGAGGAAAGTTAAATGTCACAAATACAAAGTCGTTTAAACAGCTTATTCTTTTAGACTTTATTAGTCTTCACAATAAACGTTTGGGGACTACCTTGTTATAATTTTTGTTCAATTTCTTACTTTCTTTCTTTCACATCTAGCCTGAGAAATTTGATTTATTAAAATGCATATAAAGTCAAACTGTAGGTTTGAAGATATCAATATTCAAAAGGACCATAAATGTTTAAACACATTCAGACAGATGAAAGACCTTTTTCAAATATTCCCAAAAGAAGATGAACATTGGAACTTAAACAAAGATTAAATGTTTTGTAAGCTTGGAGAAATGTACACCATTAGTGTTACACATGTAAAACAAAATGATGTATTCCAGATGTATTTGCATTTTCATTACAGTGCAAGTGTGACTGAGAAACCGAACCTCATAAGGAGAGACCAGTGCCATGTTCCAGATCAGCTCGGGCGAAGGCACACCAGAGGTTTCGCAGATCAGCTGAAGATCCTCCCCTTCCTTTATGGTCGATGTGGAGTTCAACGTTGCCGTGGGAACCTCTACATACAACCACGGAGTGGGAAGAAAGAGAGCAGGGTGTAGAGGTGGAGAGAGGGACGGAAGGAGGTGTGGAAAGGAAGGAAGAAAACTTAGGATTCATGGCCAACTGTTGTCTTTCTAGTTGAAATACAAAGCACGTAACAACCTAAACAATAAGGGCAGAAAAGCGGGCAAACACACACCCACCACAGTGTGAAATAAAGGCACACAAAGACAGACCTCGAATTCAATCTCCCTTTCCCCCATTCGCTTTCTCTCACTTTCATTAAAGCTCACTCACTCCAATCAAACGGTAAGACAAAGAGACAAAGTTCAAACATAGTGATGGTTACACTGATTACTAGTGCATGTCTTCAGCAGCCCGAGCATTAAAGTGATTGGACACAGTCTAAAGCCGCTGTCAAAGCAAAGACACTGGTGACTCTGTGTGCGTCTATGTTTGTGTCAACGTGTGTCTACAGAGCTGACCAAGAGGTGACCCGGGCATGACCAATCACACCCAGTAAGAATCAAGCCACCTCTGTCTTCTTTTTTTTTTTTAAACAATGCTGGCAAAGAAGAGAAGAAATGGGTGTTGACAGCAGATAAATCCACAGAGATTTCTTATCAAACCCTGTCCCCTCCTCAAAAAAAAAAAACCTCTTCTGTCTATCGGCACAATCTTTATCTCCAGGGAAACCCACTTATCACTACGGCAACCGACTCAATCACTGTGAGACACAGTTAAAACCAGTTATTGCAGTTGTGGCGAGGCTGCTACCATATCAGTCACATATCTTTGCAGGCCCTCGGTTAATGAACTTTCTACAGCCACTGCAACCATCTGCAGATCGCAGTACACACACACACACACACACACACACACACACACACACACACACAAGCCTGTTTTATATCTTTGCTGTGCAAAGCAGAAGAATTCATTTCCAAGCTCCTTCCCCTCCCACCCATTACCCTGAATGCCTGTCCAACACTATAGTGGGATTCTTGGGTTTAAATTGTCTATAGAAAACTTGATCCTATATCAATTATTTATGAATGCATAATTGTCTGCCAACCTACCAAAAATTACACTCTACAGTTATAATCCTAATGACTCCAAAGAAGACTCAGTTAGTTAACAGAACAATACAAAAGTCATTACATGGATCAGTTTCCCCTTCAGTGTTACGGTCTGGCTACTAGCAGTTGTAAGCACATGGAAAATACCAAAGACAGTCAGGTTGATTCAGGTGTACAGCCAGTTGCAGAGAAGCATGAAAAATCACAAAAGTTACAGAAAATATGAGTATGTCATACATGTGAAACATGTTGGATCCTTTCTCATGAATCAATCCAACTCTGTTCTTATCACTGGCTGCCGTTGCTCAGCGGGGATTGCAGTGGTACTGCTGTAATGAAAGCAGGCTGGCTGTTTTCAGCCAGTCTGTAAGTCACTTTGGATAAAAGTGTCTGCTAAATGCATCAATGTTAATGTAAAATATCAACTTACCACACAATGACACTTTGGAGACACCAGGCTCTGCCCATAACTGTGATTATTTCATATATGCATATTAAAATTGAAAGACCAATCACACTCTTTATAGAAGCTTCAGTAACTGCACAGACTCTTTAAAATGTCATGTTTATCTTGCATGTGACTGTGAAAGCAGTTCACGTATGACAGGATTTGCCTCTCTTTTACATAATTGTCATATTGCAAGTTGAAAGAACAAGAAACAGTAATCTGCGACTTTGAATTGTTGTGCCAGAAAAACTGGATTTTCAGAGTTACCTCCTTACAAAATATGTCCAAACACTTTGAAAAAAAACTAATAGAGCTCATTGATAATTACAAGTAGTTTTACATTTCAATAAGTTTGTAAAATCAACAAAGAAAAATATTCAATTGAAATAAATGGGGGAAAAAAAGGAAATTAAAGATAATAGTTCTGATAAATAAAGAATGGATTTTTTTTTTAAATGCAATTGCTGCTGTTGGCTGTCGGTTTGATCATTTCTCCTATTTTTGTTTGATTTTATGTATCTTGGTTTCTGTCTTATTCACTTTCTTCATTGCTTATGCGTCATATCTCTAGATTTCTGCTACTTTCAGTTGTCCTATTCTTAACATTAAAAAAGTAGCTGCCACCTTTTTGGTCTTGAAAGTGTGAAGTCGGTTAACCTCAATCTGACTGAAAAGCAATTTACTCTTGATGTGTTTCCTTTACTCCCACCGCTCCAGTCCTACACATTATGAGTCTGACATTGTAAACATATTTCATGAGCCTCTCTTTTCATAAAAAAAAGTTTTACAGGGAGACAAAAATGTTATCCTTGAAAAGTCCCTCTATCAAACTTTCAAAGTGTGATGGATGTGAGCAGCTATGTCAAAGCTGATGCTGCTGATGTGGGAGCCAGTCCTCGTCACTCCTGAGCACATTAAAACCTTTTCACCTGAAGCATTTACTGTGAATTATTAACATAATATCAAGGATGTGTCTGGTTATCACAACTGCTCACTACTCACATTTAAAGTCAAATAGCCTTTGCACGTTGGATTGAAGCTCCATTCAGCATCCAAACTTTAAACAAATTCAGTTTGCCCCTGATTGAGACTCTCAGCATTTTGTTTCTTTTATTGCCAAAGCTCCTTTTCAATCTCTCTGGAGATCTCAGTTTAGCAGAACTTTGCTCCTAAATGATGGCAAAAACAGCTTTTTATAGGCTAGCTAAAAAGGGATCATCATTATTGATGGATTATTGTAACTGTTATTCTCTTTAAAGCTTGTTAAAAAAATTCATCTGAAGACATTCCCTCTGGTTTGTTTGCACAGGGCTCTGTTTTGCGTAGGTTCTGTTTTTTTAAGTCTTTATTAAATAGACAAGTAAAAGTGGTGTAACACTAAAGAGATAAAGGAAAAAGTGTTTGATGAGAGTTAATATGATTCCTGCCAATTACAACTCACAGAGGGGCAGAAAAACAGATGTAGTCATATCAAGACAAAGTGTACCTGTGTCTTGATGAGGTCTGGTAATAAGACAGATTTAATTTCCATAGCGCATGGAAAAGACTGCCCTATAAAGCATTTTGTAGAATGTCCTATAGAAACACGAAGCACTTGATAAAGGACTTAAACTTCTTGATGTTCACATAAGCAAGGAAGTGCAAAATCTTTCATTTTATTCAAATAAGCTATTTAAAAGGAAATTATGCTGGAGTGAGGAGTTTGCACTTTTTATGTGTCTCATTTATTGTTTTATTCTGGATTTTAACACCTACAGCTGTTCAAGGCCCACATTTTTGCTGAATGACACGCTTATCTACTTTTTATATTGCACCACTGGGACTGCAGTTAACAGCCCAGCAGCACTTCTTAGTAAAGTATTGTATTGGTCAGCAGTAGGAACAGTCTGTTCATCAAGCTTTTACGGGTGGTGTACCAGCAGTATACAGTCTGTGGACACTAAGAAATAGAGAGATCAGTGTCAGCCCCAGGGCTTTACTGGGCATTTCCTCTGCTTTGTGGCTCACTCATAATGTCACTCAGAAATGTTCGGACACACAGACAAAAGGACCCACACAAATCAAACAGACGCACGAAAATTGAGACATACTGATGAGCCACCATGGCCAGCAGTTTGTCCAGACTGAGAGATCTTTTGGTGTACGGCAGTTAGCCCTGGGGCATCATTTGGCACCCTTGCACTGGCCCTACCATGCCCCCCCTGCTCATATGTCAGTCTGCCAGGGGGGGTCCCCGGTCCCCTTCTCCAGGGGCCCTGCCGTAACTGTGCTAATGCCAAAAATAACCTCGGCTAATGGAATGGAGGCAGAGAGGACAGATCAATAGAAGTTATCAATGACATTGTTAGCTTCCTGCAAGCTAACCCGTGGCCCGTGTCCTGAGTGCCCCCATCGCCCCAAGCTATTTCTGAACGGATCATTTCCTCTGTCAAAAACAAGAACAACACAATCCTTTTAGATTTATGTTTATGTTTATAATGGTAATGAGTAGATTAGATTTCAATTCAAGACTTATGAAGCTGTTTTGACCAAATCTCCAAAAGGTCAGACATGGGTTTTTTTGTGCACTTGGATGAAAGTCAAACTGTGAATTATTACTGAACGTCAGTCTCTGCCAAACACACACGGGCTGCTAAAGGCCAACAAATCCTAAGAATCAGTGCTGGCCTGTCCTAGACTTTCAGAGGCAGGTCAAGCTGTAATTTGACCCTGCTTATGAATAGAAAGAGAGTCCAAAATAGAAGATTCATGAAAAATTCATGCAGTTGTTATAAAGAAGAGAGAAATAAAAAAGAGTCGATAAGCTGCTGACATTTATACATTTAAGTTTGATAAACACTCCCATACACCAGTACGTAAAAGCCATGTGCTCTGTGGCAGCAGCAGGCTTGGGGATAAACATGAGAATGTGCACATAAATAACTCTATGCACTTCTATTTATGTATTCAATCCAGGAAAGGATTTGTGTCCTTGAAAATTAAACCTTTTGGTCACAAAAGTGTAAAAGGTTATTTTGCTCCAAAATTGTGACTTGCTGTTTTGTTGGAGTTTTTCTGCTTTCCAGGCTGCTTTCCACTCAAGTGAAATACTTGGAGAAAAAGTTAATTAAATCTGGTGCATAACACCTAGTTACAGGCGCTAAAAGACATTGTGCAGATGGAATTTAGGAAACTCAATTTTCAGCATCTTTGAGGATCGGTAGAATGATAAAGGCATCACCTCTCACTGCCTCTGTAGTATCTCGTACAGTGACCTTTCCACACTGACAAACAGATATCTCAGGTGACTGTAGGCAGTCTATAAGATGACAAAAAAAACTCACAAATTCACACACATACACATGCAAACACACACGCACCACGCTGTCTAGGTCATGGATCTCTCCCTCTCTCCTTCTGAAAGTTAATCTATGCATCACATGGAAAAAATCCTATGGCACAAAGACATTTCAGCCTCTTTAGTATTGATGGCATTTCGGTGGTACAGGGCAGAGGCTAAACTCCTTATTAAGCCCTCCGTTTGAGAGCAAGACTCTGTATGCATGCCTTTGTTTGGTCACTTGTTTGCTTCTTAACGTGAAATACATTAGTGTTTGTGGGAGTTAGAATACACTGGGTGAGAACAGTTTTGTGTGATTTGAAATTTAAAACAGTGCATTTCAACACTCCTCGTAGCCTGTGGAAACTCACATACCAACAGGTATGAATAACCCCGCAATGGCTTCTGGTTTTGCATGATTTGTGTTCCTTGTACAATTATTCTCTTAGGTGTTAGCAGTAAAGCTTCTTTCACCACACATTTATTCTCCACATCACATGGGAACTGATAGAACACTTAAAGATTTGGAAATGACTATGTTGGGGAAACCATTAAGATATCTTGATTTCCTCCACATGCTTCCACGTTTTGCATTCTGCACATCCACTGAGTGTGTTTTCCAGCTTCTTACTCTGCATGCACATGTGTTTGTGCATATGCGTGTTTGACGGTGCGTGTGGGGGTGCGCATGCATGCGCTTACCACAGTTAGGCAGTGTCAGTTCTGACAGCAGCTTCCGTGTTCCTCCATCCTCGATGCAGCGCACTTCCTGAATGTCTGCTTCCTCGGCTAACGAAAGTTTGATCCACATGTTCTCACAAGAGCAATGCAGAGGGTTCCCTGTCAGGATCCTACACAAAGAAAGACATGCGGACAAGAAAACTGAGGAATGTTCGCAGTGGAACAAGAATTTTTTTTTAAATAAGCTTGCTGGCCCCTGAAAAAACTTTCATAATTATCCTTGAATTAAAAATGAAACATTTTTGGTCATTTTCCCACACAGGTCACATCAAAATGTTGAATAGTTAGACACATGCAATCTTATGATCTGTGTCCACCGAGAAACTATTTTTGAATGCTACTGACAGATGTTGTCACTGCCTCTGTAAAATAGCCACCTTATGAGTGATACTGAGGACAGACCTTCATTCTCAACTGCCAAATCAGATATCCAGTTCCAGCTTTATCACTCCTACCTTCAGCAAACTTCATTTTGAATATTTTTTGCATGTAGTCCCTTGTTTTCCGTATTGTTACCAACTCTTTTGTTCTCGCTATTTACAGAATAGCCTACTCGGATGGTTTTTGCTAGGAAACGTTTTATCTTTCTTTTAAATTACCTTGAAAATGTATTATATCAAAATATCCCATTTGCTGATTATTGAATGCTTCGCCATGTGCTGTCGGCTAAAAACACAATATGTACCAAATCTACAAACCACAGACCCTGTGCAGATTTAACCTTAATCAGCACAGATACATAGTTCCCTTACTGTGACCATGTTTTTCCCTAAATCTGGCGGGATGATACCGCTATCATGTCTCTTGACTGAATATATTGCTCCAGCCAAATGTATGTTAGTTTCATTAAACATAAAAAAAACGATGCAGGGAATGAAAGGGGATACTGAAGGTTTTTTTCTACTCACATATAGGTCATGTTGATGTGTTTGAATATCCTCCAGGATAGAGATGACAGGTTGTTATCTTTCAGATTCCTAAAAAACACCATTATGCATCAGGGACTGTGATTGGGTTTACAGCACTAGAACAACATCACGTGTTATTGTTGCATTGAATAACTGTATATTTCTATGTTTTGCATGCAATAAGCCAGATTTTAATGTAAGAAAAACTGTGTAAAGAATCAAAACATAGCAACACCTCTCTATGAAACCACCAAAACACTGTGCAGCCCAAAAAAAACAAAAACAGTTTAAATTCAGTAATTAAAACAAATAAATTAAAAGGCCTGGTTTAAAAATGAAAGATGCAATACATTTTCTGAATCAAAGGAGCTGCCAATAAACATTTAGTATCTGACATGTTAGTACACAGAAATACATAAAAATGGTTTCACTCACAGATACAGTAGCTTGACGTTGCTCTGAAAGGCCAGCTTTGACACATATGTTAGCCTGCTGTTGGTCACCGTTCTGACAGAAACACACAACAGTAGCATCACTTTCTTCATTAACGCCAAAAAAAAAAACTATATGTCAATGTCAAATCTCTGTAGTGCTTTTACCATAATTTAATAAAGTCCTTTACAAATTCTTTTTTTTTTAAACTTCTACACTGTAGAATAATGTCACAGAGTTGGGAACATTTATACCAAGAATGCATCACTATTAACCTGGGATTTTAGAAATCAATAAGTTAAGTGACTTTGTCATTGTTCTAAATGTGACATGAAGATCTTTTCAGAGTCCATTGATCTACACAAACTGTCAAAGACACAGTATTATTGTTGTTATTAGCTATTTTTGCCTTGCCAAAATGCTGAGTTTGAACAAATTACATCAGCACGATTCATACGAAGAAAATTGCCAATGTACTGGTCCCAGGAAGTGTAAGACATCAAAAGTATGTGGCTTTGTCTTAAGAGACCAGTCTGGTTGTTATCCTTAAAAATGACACATTTCCTGCATAATTTGAACCACGTGCTCAGAGGAAGTCTTTCCTACGTCAACTGAAAAGAAACTCCAAGGAAATATTGTTATCTGACATGAATTTGATTTGTGGTCTGCCACTGACAGATGAATGTTTTCAGTATTTTTCTGACAATAAGACATGTTTTTTAGCAGTCAGACTTCCTTAGATTAAGAGTTTTGCTCCCACTGGTGGAACCACAACTAAAGCATAAACTTGCTGTGCGTAATATGCTTAGCATTATCGTATCAGTCATACTGAATATTGTCTTGGTAGTCATGTGATGTCCACCAAATATGTTTTTTTTTTATTGCGGGAGAACAACTGTCTCTTATTGGATTCAGGAAATATAATTAGAGATGGGAGCTTACCAGAGTCAAAAAGACTTGAGAAGATTTTAAAGCAAAGCAGCAATATGCAAAATAAGATTTAAGTATTAAACTACTTTAATTATGAGAAGATCAATTGGTGTAGTAATACTTCTGTGATATAAAAACACTAGATCAGCAGCTAGCTGAGGAGGAGAACATTACACACATTTTTGGAAACTGAATGTGTTCTTTTTCCAGGTTGTTTAAGCCATGACAAACTTACAGGTTCTTGAGGTTCTTGTAGTAGTGCAGGTCTTTGTCATTGATGGAGGAGAAGCCGCTCTGGTTTGCAATGTAGCTGTAAGGAGATACATGGGTGTGTCAGAGGTTCAATCGGTTTGCATAGGAAGCAAATATAAAAAGGCATCAGCCAAACACGGGAACATGGAAATGGCTTCTAAGCAGTAACGTATTTTTTCCTAATGAGTTCCGAAAAACTGCAGCCGTACGGTTTTGGTTTTTCAAAAAAGGGAGAGGAGAACATTTCTTTTCCTCTGCACCCCTTGAGCAACACACTTGACCTGTTTGTCTGTAAAGGCCAGCAGGAGAGGATTGTGAGCAACTCCCTTGTGTGAATGAAAAGAAGCGCGTGAACACATGTTGAAAAGCAGCACTTCTCAAATATTCCATCTCGGAAAGCGGATGTCTGAGAATAAGAAAGAGTAAACAAAACCTTGGGATAGGACGGAGAACAACCTCTTCTGTTGTGCTGTGAGAATCCCAGCGGATCTCTTTGGGTGTCACAAACCCTCAGTCATGTTGCACAAACAGTTTGCATCTCTAATCAGACACAGACATGTTAGAGATCTTCAAAACATGTTTGGTGGGTACTCTATTGGCTGAGTAGTCTTACAGGACACTGCGTTAAGGAACACACAACGTTACGGATGAGAGCAGGCGGAAGCATTTGTCATTCGACGTTATTCATCGGCTCAAAAGACGGGCCTTTTTAAAATGCCAGTAATTATTCACTACCTCCCCACATTTCATTTTCAAAAAGAAGGCAAAACTCATTTGCAGTTTGACTTAATGCTTAGAGGATTAAACGGAGAATGGAGAATTAGAGATTCAGTGTGAATCTTGCTTTCTCTTGTTTAGTGTTACAATTATTTACACAAGGTTTAAAGATCCCTACTTTAAGTCAGCCGAGCAGCAAGTTTACTTTGTCAACTTTGCCTATCTGCAGATAGTTAAAGTGTTTGACTGTGTAAACCTATACAGCCGACATTTTTATGACAACACAAACAGTATTTGAGTTTGAATTGTCGTCACGATAAATCACTCTGACGGGACACTAATCCTGCAAATGTTGATTTTTCAGTGCAGCTGTCTCAAAGAAATATAAGAAATGACCTCCTGCATGAAACACACTAACCAATCTCCATAGTTTTTGGCAAGGTCGTTTGAAGTAAAGACTCCGCACGGTCATCAGTAATTTGTCTGTTTACATTAGCCAAGCTCTGGATGGATGCTTTTCAGCAGATTGCTGGCTCATTTAAAACAGCTTCCAAGGCTTTTCCAAGGCTGACGATAGAGCTGGTTTATCTGACAAAAGTCATTATCAACAAGGACGTCCATCTTTGCCAAGAATTCACAATTTAGACATTTTTAATCCCCACCCTAAATTTATTTCAGCTGAAAAAAGTGGCTTTATTTTTGGGCCGAATGATGACTCATAAAAATCTTAATGGAAAGGGGAATTCGGTTTAAGAATTTGGTCATCTTGAGTTTGAATTTGCTCGAAGAAAAGGCTGTATTCTTCAAACATGATCAAATGTTGATCTGATTGAGGGGGGGGGGGGTTGATTTTTCTTCAGCATCGATTTTTTTCCCCCACTTAGTGCATTCAAACTAACTCATAGGCATCTTGGGAAGTGTCTGTGCTAATATTTGGACAGTGGCGCTTGATCTGAGCGTATAACCAACACACGAGCACACGCACACGCTCTAGTGGACGTTCGTTCGTGTGTGTGTGTTTGTGTGTGTGTGTGTGTGTGCACGCGCAGGCGGGCATCAGCCCGGGCTTTGTCTGGACGATTTTTCAGCAATGTATCCGTCAGTTTCTGGTCCTGTCAGACTGATTCCACGCTGGTGCTGAGAAGACTGATGTGCCCCGTGATGACAATGAGTGTGTTACGCAACCTAAGTTACACACGCCACACGTCTGAGACACACCGGTGCCGATCGACGATGGGGGGGGGCTATTTGATTGTGAGGTCATCTTAAATAAGGCGCATTAAATCCACCCGTAAGATTGAGATTGATTGCAAAGACAAGTGTGAAGAAAAATAAATGAATCAAAGAAGCCTTCTGGATCGTTCTTTGCTGTTTGCCTGACACCAGCTTCAAATGAGGGGTGCAAAATGAAAAATCCTAATTATCAAGAAAGTGATGGCAACATTGCAACAACTGAATCGGAGGGGGTCAGGTGGGGGTTTAATGCTATTTGGTGAGTTTGAGATGGCTCTTCTGTAACATAAGGGAATAACAGTCACGGGTGACACTCACATGTCGGTGATGTTCTCCATCTCCGCCTCGCTCTGCAGGATTGGGAAAGTATTGATACTACGCTCCGGGTCCACGCAAGTGATCCTGGTGCTGCTGCAGGAGCAGGACGAGGAGCACACATCCCCGGACATCCACGGATCCCCCGAGCCCGCCGTCACCCCAAACGCCACCACCCACCACCAGAAGCACCGCCACGACCCGGGTCCCCTCCCCGGCGAGGAGAGGGACCAGCTCCCGGGTCTCCAGGCGCTCATCTCGGGTGCCAACTGCCCACTTCAGCTGTGAGGCTCGCGGAACAGCCCCACGGCCCTTCCCAGGTGGACTGGGATCAGCCCCCGGTGCGACCAGCCAAGCAGAGGAGAGGAGAGGAGAGAGGTTGGAGCAAAAAAAAAAATCCGATGCTGAGGCGGACAACGGGCGGTGGGACGAAGCTAGACAACCATCGGCCGTCTCCGCGATGAGAGACAAGGCAGCGAGAGAGAGAAGAGGTGTGGAAATGGTAACAGAGATGTGCGTCGCGGTCCCGGCCGTGCGTTTCCACCAGATCCCCCAGTTAGACAGTCAGTCAGTCAAAATCTCACTGCCTTAGAGGCGTGTGTGCCAAGGAGAATCTCTCTCCCTCTCTCTCTCTCTCTCCCTCTCTCTCCTCTCTCCGTCTATTTCCCAAATGCCACTGGAGCTTCCTCAACACAATGTTCTCTGTGTGTGTGTGTGTGGATAATTGTCGGATGCTGCTGCTCGGTGGGTGGGTGCGTGGACAAAATGCGCGACTGGCAGAGACACAGAGGCAGAGATGGGGCGCAGGAAGGATCCCCGCGTCAAAGTAGACCGTGTAGAACGTGATACATCATTGATCTCCATTAGGGAGACGTTCCTTTATCTGCTTTCAGTGGAAGTGTCTGAGAGGAGAGGGGGTGGGGGGGGGGGCAGGTGCAAAACAGAGGCCCCTCTTGCTCAAGGGCACGTCAACTTTAGGTCTGATTTCGACATTGCAGGGTGAATCCATTCGAAGCTGCTCTAGTTTTGTGCCATCCGGTGGTAAAAGTCTCCTATTTGATGGGTTAGCCTGGCCTGGCCTTGGCGGGCCTTGGCTTGCGATCCAAAGGAGATGCGAGTGTCCTTATCTGACAGAGGTGGGAAACGCCGCCTTGAAGAGGTTACTTCATTTATCTGGCTGCTGCCTTCAAATCATTGTCCAAATGAGATTTAATGGGCTATCAGTTTGGAGTCTCTAATTGTCATAATCATTCTCATCAACGTTGTGGTTGTCATTGTAATTATCCGGCTCTCGTGCTGGGCGTTGCTCAACCTGTGTACGGATAATCAATGAAAATCAAAGCTGTCTGAGAGGGGGTTATCAGTTACTCACACAAGTGCCATATTTCAAGTCTAGTTGTTGGATTGAGTGGAAATATCTCAGGCTGTATGAATGCACGCAATTTTCAAAGCGTGGTCGTAAACATTGGTAACTGAGCTTATACGCTTACATTCCCAGGCCAAGAAGCAAATGTGATGTTTACAGCAGGCAACAGAGGCTGAGAGACAGAGAAAGAGGGAACAATCACCAATCAGTGAGTGTTTAGCTGGCTTGTACTAGAGCAAGTGTCAGCTTATTAAATCATTAGACCATATTTCATAATCATATGGGGCTTCCAGCCAAACTAAACCTGAATCAATAACGTGTCATCTGGGGCTAGAGGCTAAACTGCTGGATGCCGTACGTCTCCTTCTGCTGGCTGCATCTCTAACAGGAGTGGATTTCTCTTTAACTCTACGCAGCCGCGACGGGGCCGTCACACCTCTCCTCAATCTTTCAGCTTGCGAGCAGCAGAAAAAGCCCTGACACACCGCGGCCCGTGAGGAGCGCTCTCCTCTTCCTCCCCAATCTGCTTTCCCCGCGTGCTGCTCAAATATGACGTTTGTGCTGACGCACAGGCAGTGCTGCTGAATAGAGGAGCGTAATCACGGAGCCCTGTCTGTGTCTTAGCCCCTCTACTGCACGAAACTGGGTGAACGCTTCATGCACAAAAAAAAAATGTACAAGTGTACCGATTAAGTCAATGTTTCACAGACAGAATATATCAGTCACTCTCTGTTCAACAAACATTGTTCCGTGTGTTAAAGGTTGTTTGCATATTAAACAATTCATCATTCCCACTGAGAACTCTCTTGTTGACAACACACAAAAAGGAAAGAAATGAACGTGTCAGGCTGTGTTTTATTCAGCATTATGAGACGGCACACACAAAAAGATTCTGTTTTGGTTACCAGATGAGGCACATCTCATTGTATTTGGAGTATGTAACACATGAGCAGGAGCAACCAAAATGACACAGCCTTTCAGAAGTCGATGTGCAAGTCATCAAATAGATCTACCCTCCCACTGACCTGTCTCATTTCATTACAACCACTTGCCTTGTATTTGCATGGGCACTGGTCTTTATGACATCACAGTGATTGGTTCTTGCTGCCTCACAACACGTTTGCTGTACCTGTGTTGATTTCTCGTTGCAATAAAAATCAACTCGGGCTCCACATTGGCTTCTAGTAGAATCCCAGTCTACATCTACATACCATAAGACACAGAGTAAGAAGTGACAGATCTCTAAGACGAAAGAGACCAATCTTAGCCCGGAGGAATGTGGGAAAGAAGAATTTGTCAGAAAACATCAAAGCCGACATTGTTAGCCGTTAGAGGTCAAAGCACAACGAGTGATTAATAAGCAAAAAAAAAAAGGGAGTTGGGAGAGATCTAAATGAATGGAGTAGATAAGAAGAGATCAAAGCTAACACTGAGTGTTAGGAGAGGCAAATGAAATGGACAATTTTCATGCGGGAAGAAAGATCGTTAAGATGTAAAAAGGTCATTGTGACGCAGTAAAATCAGGTCATTGTGAAAGAACATCATGTGATCATGCAGGTTACTGGGATTTAACAAGGTACATGAAGGCCAGGGTGAAGCATTGACATACTGGGTAGAATGAAGTTAATGTGATTTAAAAAAAACAGATGGAAATTTTGAAACAAAAGTAAGTGTGACGCAACAACTACAGGTCATTTTGAAGATACAATAGTCTTTTTCTCCTTTTCTTTTTCTCACATTTCCAGTTACCCTCCAGATCGATCGGTTTAATATTTTATAACTCACACTTTTTCTTTAGGAGTTCGATCTCCCATCACTCGCAGTTTGTTTGGATAACTTGTGATTCATTTGTTTGTCATGGTTTTACTATGATATTCCAGGAATCACGCTGTAATTTTATTTTGGATTGAAACCTTTTTCTTAAATACATCAAATCTGGTATGATTTAGCCCGTTCAGCTAGATCTCTCACGACTCATCTTTGCTTTAATCTCTGGCAACTAACCTTGTTTCTTTCGATCACTCAGATCTCATAACTCTCACTTTTTGCATAAATCCCACATGACTCACTGTTTGTTTGCAGAGATTTCAAACGAAACACTGTTTGCTTAAAGAGCTACCAAGATTCACTCAATTCCTTAAAATTTCTCACAAAAAGTCCCCCATGTTCAGATCTCTCATTCAATCTGCTTGGCTTGAGACCTTACAACTCAATATTTTCTCTTAGATTTTTCCAGAGTTCCTCTGTGTTTAGATCTCTCTGATCTTTCACAAGTTACAGGTTTTAAATGTTGTCGTGATTTTCTTTGCTTGCTTAGATCTGTTAAATCACTGACTTCCCCTTTGTTTGCTTATTGATATCTCATGATTTGCCCTTTTTGCTCTGATATTTCACGACACAATCAATACGATGAAACAATGGTTAGGAAATTAAATAAAAAATTACTGTGATGCAAATGTTTTCGTGGATGAAATAATAAAGTCAGTATGCTCTGAAAAATGGAAATGCAAACATAAGAGTATGTTAGGACAAAATTCATCTGTATATTATGGTCAAAACATATGATTGGGTCACAACAATCAGGGATTGTGAAGCAGCATGAAAAAGATTCTCCAGGACTTATTTTGTGTTGATCTATAATGTGATGTGATTTTAGTTAGGACTGACAATGTCTGCTTATGTCTCCCATGACATCTGCAGAGGTACTACTTCACATCTGTCAGACTGACTGAATCTGTTAGTTTTCATCTGCTGTGAACTAAATTGGCTTGTTTTGTGCTCTTCATCCCTCGTGACTCTATTCTATCTTTCATTAGTCACTTAATTGACTCTGATCTCATATTATTAGCTATTATATTATTCCCCCCTGCTTAGATCTCTTATGACTGCCCGTGTTTGATAAGATTTCTTAGATATATCATGAGTCAATCTGCATTAAATGATCTTTCATGCTTCTATCATGTGACACAGCTACATCTTATCATTATTGAAATCTGTGATTTTTAGGTTTCTGGGGCATTATGTCCCAAACAAATAATTCTTTTTTTCTTCAGTTTTCTGCTTCTATCCCGCATGACGAACTCAGTAACTTGACTTTAGTATCATAACTCTTTCATCTGCTACAACACTGCAGTAACTCAAATCTCTTCCTACTAACTCTGTTTGATTTAACTATTTTTCACTTATCCATCAGTTTTCTGCATCAATTAACCTAAATCTCGTCTATATCCCACTTTTGGTTTATTATTCTCAGAAATAAAATGATTTCTTCACTGTGCAGTTTAGCAAAGCAGGTCAAAGGGCAGAAAAATATTTTTCCTAGATCTCTGATGAATTAATTTCATCTTCGATCTGGTATGACTAACACCTGTTCTATTTTGATTAAAAAACACTTTATTGTATAGGAAAAACAAGTGTTTTCTTAAGTCTCTGCAGACATCTTCAATTGTCAATCAATATTTCTTAGGAGACCTCGTGACTCACTTTATTTGTATGGCTCCTAATGAACTCACTGATTTAAACAAATAGAAGTATCTGAATTTTGAGAAGACTGATGCCTAGTGATGAGTTGTGTCTAAAAAATCTAGTTGATAAGCTGTGATTGGCCTATACTGATGTGGGATTGTAATCTTAAACAATATGGGTCATGGGATTCCCCCAGCAGTCTAACCCTATTTTTTCCAGGTCACCTGAGCAAACCATGACCACTATTTTTATCAAAAAGAAAAGTTTTGAGCTTAATCTTATTAGTGGAGACTGTGTCTGCCTCCTGAAGCCATAATGGCATCTGATTCAATGCGAGACAGCCTGCTACGAAAGCCTCTGCCTCCACCTCCACTTTACAAACTCGAGGAACTTTAAATAGACCTGCTGTCTCACAGGGAAATTCTC